AACATCTCGACGACCACAGGAAGGGAGTTTCACAACATTCGTGCGACCCATCACCCCTCGCTGCCTCCAAAATGCCAGATTACAGGCCACGTGTATAGCCGCCACTGCCCGGCTACAGTTTTTGTTAAAGGTGTAGAATAGTTAAATAATAATGCTGCTTGCATAATTCATTTATTTTCTTCAGCCTTGAATTTGCGTATTTTTAAAGGTGAAATGACATCACACCTCGGAACTGACTGGGTGATTTACGTCTCAATGAATTTGATCCACCCAGGGAAAGTGTCACCGTGAGTAAAATGTCATTGGAGATGCGAGAAAACACGTGGAAGTGGGGAGATGATGACCTATGAAACCAGCCGTGAACTATCACTGTTAAATCAAAGCTTTACATATGACCGGTTTCAGAAATAATGTACTCACTCAGGAGATTATGTCATTATTAATATTAACTGCACCAAATACCATGTACTTACTATATTGAATACCACCGTACACTGTGCATACTTTATGTGGAAGCGCACTGAGTTGCAGTATGCATTGTATCCCACACAGTAAATTAAATGACACATTTCTAAGGAGTTTTCATTACAATGCCCTTTGCACTCGAGCATGAAATATACCCACCAACACGAGACTACTGCGGGGCTTACTTGGCGGGCAGCAGAAAACGGCGCGGCTAAGTCCATTCTTATACCGCACGACAATGCTCTCCGGCTTCACCAACCCGGACAAGCGTGGTGAAGTATGGTCAGATAACCTCCCACGACTACACTCACACGACGTGGGCAGGGGAGGGCCCACGTCCAACAGTGAACTGACAAGGGCTCTACGTGTGCTCTCCGTCTCAACGTGTGTTCTCCATCCCCCAAGACAAAGATCCCCCTTATAGCCTTAACAGACTGTTGGGGCAAGTGCTGTTAGTGAGGACCTATGAAGGTTGGAACGGCACACGAGGGGGTGGGTGGCCGCCTTTCTCTCCCGAGTGGCAGGTACTCATTTGAGGTTGAGTCGACCTAAGGGTGGACCAGGACCGGTTCAGATAGTCGTCACTTGTGTTGGCCGGGAGCGAGAATCGAACCCGGTTGGCCAGGTTCGTAGTGCAGCGCGCTAACCGCTGCTCTACGTCTCCACATGTTGTTCCACAGTAATCGCCCCCCCCCCCCACATGCGCCGTGCTGTATACCGTATATGCCAGGTGGTCTCAGCTGAATGAAGATGTCACCAAGGCACACGCGTGCGGTCACAATGCCCAGGTGTGGCGGCTCTCTTGACAGCCCTCCTCGCTCGAGCGCTCCTAGCGCGGTTGAGGCAGCCCACGCTGCGCTTTGGGGTTTCCTGGCCTGACTATGACGTGGCTTTCCGTTCAAGCCCACGCAAGTCTGCCAAATGCTATCGCATGTTGGAATTTTTTTGATAAATCGGAAATGGCACAACGTGGAGATTGCCTATACCATAGTTGTGCGCTTTATACATTTAATAATTATAATGACAACAATATAGCCCTACGTATATTGTTTAAAGTATGTTTGGCTGGTATATATTTCTACGTGATAATCCACTTTGTTGAGCTATCATTTGTGGCTATGTTGCTTCTGAAAAAGAGCCATATATCTTCTTTGTTCTTTCGGTAAAGTCACGTAGAAGGGAAGTAATAAAATAATAAAAATAAAACATAATATTATTATATTATATATTATTTTATTATATTATTTTATTATGTTTTATTTTTATTATTTTATTACTTCCCTTCTACGTGACTTTACCGAAAGAACCAAGAAGATGAATCCCTGCAGTCACGAAAGCTTTAAATCGAAATTTAAGAGCCATATAGCTCAGTGCGTCAGTGGGCCTTAACTGGTAAAAAAAAATCAAGTAGTTAGTTAACTCCTAGCCTCATTCAGCAGAGGACAGAACAATGGCAGAGTTTATGCTGGCGATAAAAGCCTACAAAAGTATCTATTTCTAGTGGGTCTGTAGCCCATTGTCCCATACGGGCCTTCTTTTAATAAGCATTGAATGAAAACATAGTCTTTATTTTTATTGAATAATACATAAAATGAAACTAAACACACCGTGTAAGGTGTCTTTATTAATATAGTCATGAATATATTCATTAAAACATGACTATTTAACATAGAGTACAGCAATAATTGTCATCATGAGAATAGGTTTTCTCATTTTTTCTGGCAAAAAACATGTGTTAAGATGTTAAAACACCAAACTGAAACCTTTTTTACAAGGAATCATGTCTGCATTAACCACAATACTTGTGGTCAGAATGCAAACAATTGTCATCATGCATGTGCTTTTGCAATAATATTACAGCCAATTCCCTGCTGGACGAAGGTCTCCCCGTGCCGTGTCTATCAAAGGAGTTGGTTGACCATACTTCACTAGCATCACTTTGCTCGATCTGGCTTGTCGAAAGGAAGTTCCCTCGATTTTCCCCATAGGAATTAATGTCTCGGCGCAGTGGAGCGCCAACCGTTTCCAATTGCTACGTATCTCGTGGATAAAAACGCAATCATTAATATTCAGTATTATGACCCAACACATTTAAATTAAGCAATGTAAGTGTTTGTGGTATGATTTATAGTACTTTACAAGGACATTGTTATTATATCATGAACAAAAAAAACACTGACATTTTACACACAGTGTTGCCGAACAATAACATGCATATCAGCCCATACAATGGCAAAACCGAATTGATAGTTAATAGCCGAGGCAATGTTTATGCAGTGAAACATTTCCAAAGAATTCATCAATAGCACTGCCTTGAAGGAACAATTATATAATAGGCAACGTTTTGGGCAGTGCCTCTTTTGGCCAGTGTTATTGATGAATGTGCTGAGTGTTTTGTCATTTGCGCTAGTGCATCACTACCAACGCAATATCCCCATATTATATTACGTCCTCGAGATCATGACTCCTGGTTAATTCTGCTGAGAATTTCCGAAGTTCTAAAATTGACGTTAAATACCCTGTGAAATAACAATGGTAATCCATTTCCACTGTTCAAATACTGTATGTGAAATTATCCCCGACTAAACAGTAATGAAAAAAACCACTACAAGAAACTCCTCGTATGCGTCTGGGGTTGGAGTGGTGGTGCAGTGGTTAGCGCACTGCGCTTAGAACCCAGCCACCAGAGTTCGATTCCCAGCCTACGGCTAAAATCGGTGGCCAGATATATCTGAACAGGTTCTTCCCACCCTCATTCCATCCCCTTCGCCAACTCGGAACTAACCAGCGTGGTGAAGTATGGTCGTACAATCCCCGTGACAGACACACCGTGGAATGATCTTCATCGAGCTGTAGATTAAAATAGGGCTGTAAATTATTACTGCGATATTTAACAACTAAGGCCAGGCTTCCTTTGAAAAAATAAATCATAAACATCAAAGGAATGTAGCCTATTTAGACATGATTGAAACCTGCAATCATTTATAAATGTAGCATAACACAGTACTGTACAGTGCTGTACGCAGATACATTTGATTTCAACCGAAATAATGTTTTTCTTACAAGTTAATCTTGCAGTAACGGCTGTAATGCAGTCATACAAATATAATCGATTAGTTAGTCTGTCCAAAACTACATGCAAAGATACATGTATATGCTACATCTCACTCAATAGCGCTCAGTAGCTATCCTGTAGTACCAATGTGTGATAAACAGTTGCATTAAGGACAGAATGGCCCCCGCCAGAATAATGTGGAACTCCAACGGCTAAATCTGGGCCACCAATGTGCTGAATGTCACCCATTGCTCACTGGAGCACGCAGGGATGCACTGTGAGTTTGTTAAGTGCGGCATGGGCAGGACATGCGTCACTGCAAGGAATGACGGCAGGTGGTCGAGACTAACGCTGGGGTGGCAGCCAACGGAGGAAAAAGAGACGACCCGATAAATATGTATACCGTGGAAATGGAGCGAAAAAATCAGCTCGTTCACAGGTGCTAGATGGATTGTAACATCATAATAGGACCGTGAGAGATTGATAAGAGACCTTCATGGCTGATGATGATGACACTGTGACCTGATAATGGTGATTATGGCTAGGAATTTTCCCCGTCGACTAAAAATACCACTAATCATTACCCCACGAGTACCATCATGTGTGCGCCAAGTCAGCTTTAACTAATTAATGGATACTATGGTCCCTGCCACAGGAACGAGGAATTCCCATCGCCGGCTGAGGACCACCAACCCACCACCGCCTGTATAAGCAAGGGGTACAGGGTCCTTTGGTAACTATAATTATGTATCCAGTGAATACTGAGTTTCATTACTCTTATTTAGGGAGGGTCCTACATTCGAGATGTTTGGACAATTCAACTTTCAATATTGTAATGTTCTTTATGTAATATGGAAACTTGAGTACCCGGAGAAAACCCACCGCACTTCAAAGAGGATAACCACTGCAGCAGCGGCGTTGCTAGTCTCACAAATACACGTGTCCCACCAACCCTTGACTCAAAATCTCTCGACTGCAGGCGCTGTGGAGCTCCATCAAGTGTCCCCGTTCCTCCCACAGGCCGAAAGCTGACCCCCGTACGGATTGCTGCCTACACACTGAAAACCGGGACTGAACAGGTCGCTTTCTGTTCCCTCGTTAAGAGAAACTCGAATGTCGATAGCGAAAGCCAGTTCATGGCACGGTAAACACCTTGAAGCGAAAGGCCACCACGGTCAAACAACAGCTAGCAAGCAAAGCAATGCTCATCCACGAGCGGCGGCCGGTAGGGCATTTGAGTTTCGCGGTGGTTGCGGAATAACTCGTAGTTTCTGCCCTGTGGAAATTCCCATTTTGCTCAGAGGTCTGTGGTACCGGGGGAGGAGGGAGGGGAGGGAGGGAGGGGGTGGTGGTGCACGTCAGCGCCCAGCAATGTGGTGCTGACGTCAGTGCTCAGTGGAAGCCGTAGGGGGGGACATGGGGGGGGGCCTTTGGTGCCGCTGCTGCTGCTGCCACCGCGCGCGCTATAAGCCCCACGCGCTCACGCAGCGCCGCATTCTGTCGAGTCTCGAGCGCAGGTAGCGGGGACACGAAGGAAGGGGTCCACGTCGCGTCGTTTCGCTCTTGCTTAGTCCGTCTGTTTGTGGAAGCACTTGTCGAGCCCGGTATCTCTGCTTTCTCGTTCTCGCCTCTTTTTTTCTGTTGTTGCCGAGTGATATTTGTTGTTGTTGCCGCAACAACAACAACAGCGAAAAGGCTTGTTTTTGTTATTGTTATAAAAGCGACAAACCTGTCATGATGTGGAAGGTGTGCTTCCTCGTGTTGGCTTGCCTGGCGACGGTGGCCAAAGGAGAAACGGTGAGTTTTTATAATTCGCACGTTACGGTACAGACATGGACAAAGTCGGTGTCATCTTCATCATCACCATCGGCGCTGTTTAATGCCAAACAATGTCTTGCGTAATGCACGCCAAGTGTGTTCCCCTCCGGTTTTGTGTGAAAAAAAAAATCAACAAGTAACTTTGAAGTAACATGTAATTATAATTAAACTAGTCCATTCCATAGGAACGTGGAATTACCACCACCAAATTACAGGATCCCCCCCCCCCTTCCTGCGAGGGAGCTCAGCAGTCCAGGCAGGGTTACTGCTCCTGTGTTCATGATGACATAGACCCGAATTGCCAAGCTGTGGGGCAGTGATAAAATCAACTGAACATTAGGCGTTACAAATCCGCAGCAGCGTGTAATGTGGTGGGGGTGGTGATGGTGGTGGCTTTGGCTGTTGTCGTTTTTGTGTTGTTGTCTTGAGGTTACGACTTGCGTCTCAAAGTCCGCGCACTGTTGTGACTGCGCAAACAAGTTGCCCTAAACTTTGCGCACGCACGTCAACCCAAGCGCGCACACGCACACACCTGGGACTTGAACACGTGATGTGGTTTTTTTTTAGCTTCTGTACGCGCATGTGTATATACAATCACGTACGTGTCTTGCGATCGAGTCCCCGTAGCCAATAGCCAGCAACTCTTGTTGTGTGTGTGTGTGCCATGAGTTCAACCGCTCATCTGACGACGCATCACTCAATCCGGGAGGGTGTTTGGCAACGTGGGAGATGGAGGAGGGGTCCCATGGACAGGAGTAGCCGTGGTCGTGTGTGACTCGCTGTGAACGGGCGCGCGTTAAGCTGACTTTTCACAGAACAGTTCGCCACATTGCGCTTGGATTGCTCTTGCTGGAGGCTGGCTGCTTTTATGGGGCCTTTATTCAGAGTTTACACCATTTAAACGCCGTCGCATGACTAGTTTCTGGCACAACAAACCAGAGGTGTGGACTCGAGTCATGTGACTTGGACTCGAGTCAGACTCGAGTCATGAATTTGATGACTTCAGACTCGACTTGGACTTGCATAACAATGACTTTGTCCCACCTCTGCAACAAACTGCGCGGTTGTATATTCGCGCTCTCTCGCTTCTCTCTGCCTCCACAGGGCACGGAGCCTTGCCAGTGAGCGGCAGCGGTGTTTTTGTAGGCGCGTGTTGTGAAGCGGCTCCAATGTTGTATATACAGGAGGACGTACCTCCCGCAAGCACTCTCGTTTCTATCAGGCATCGACATTGCCATTGAGCTCCTGTAACATGTTGCCATTCGCAAAAAAATTGAATGACTTTTTCGTAGAATGCATGGTATGGGTGCCAAACAAATCACTGCGACATACATACAGAGGAGATGCGGTGGTTAACGCACTGGACTATGGACCGAGCAATCATTTAGTTTTATTTCATGAATAATATCAGTGGTGAGTGATATCTAAACCTGCCCTGGTATATACACCACCCGTCATCACTAATCCGGATTGATCAGTTTGGTGAAGTATGGTTAAATAACCCCCAAGACCGACACGGTGTATAGCGGAAGCCTTAATCGAGCAGTGGATGAAGAACATTTTTTTGAATGCTGACTGTGTGGTTTTGTGTAAAGTATTTAAGTACTTACACGTACAAAAAGTTGGCTTCTGCGTTATTGACGTGACCAGGCTTGCGTCATGCATAATGTATATGACAATCACTGCCTCGCGCCACCTTGGTCCAAGTCTGACAGCTGAGTGCAAAGGGCACGATCCTCTGGAACGTGTTCACGTTTTTGCCTTGGGAGCTTGGGTCCTACTCCCTGACAGCGTCACATTTACACACAAACGCCTACTCAGCGTACCTTGGCTTGGTTGGTCATTGCAAGAGGTTACGCTGTCACGGGACGTTATTCCAGAACCGTGTCGTTAAAATCTCACGAATACAAGTCACATCACTACAGTGGTGGGACAGAGGGAGTTTGATTTTTTCCGACACGATCAGCCTCGGGAGGTGGGGATGATCGTCGCCAGTGGCGCACGCACATACACATTTCGGTGGGGGGGGGGGGGGAGATTGAATGATTCCTATCAAGAATGACCAGTCAGGAATACGTTTACCTTATTTATAATTCGACATTCTTTAGGGGGGGAAGCTTCCCCGCTGCGCGCCCCCCAAGGTTGACTCAGCCTGAAGTGAGTGTACCACCACCCACACACAGGTTGACTCACCCCTGCTCTGCGTGGGTGCCCAGTGTTGCAAAATTACGTGGTGTGTGTGGGGAGAGATGGAGGCACTGGTAGGGGCCGTCACCGGTGACCCCGGCATCCCACCCCCCCCCCACAGGACAACACACGTGGACTCACGCGACATCATCATCATCATCCCCCTGAGTGGCTGAGACGCTACCTCGTCTGGTATACAGGAGGTCGTATATTTGGAGTTTGCATGTTCTCCCCGTGGTCGAGTGGATTTTTCACCGGTTTTTCCCCTCCACGTTTAGAACCATGCGTTTGAGCCGCTATAAATTCCCACGTGATGGGCCGCTTCGTTGGGCTATCATTTGTGGCCAGGTCGCTTATGAAAAAAGCGATATAAATTCTGAAAAAAAGCTATAAACCTCAGTGGGCCATACTTAGTAAAATTAAATAAAAAATAATACAACATTTACATTTAAACACAGTGGACCACATCAGCAATATCGCAAACACTGGCAAGCATCACATAATAACAAAATCAATATAACCACATCCGTTTACAGATGCACGCGTTGTTAATAACTAGCATTTTGCAGGGAAAGATGCGTGCAAGTTATTACTTAAAAGTATAAAGTTGTCGCCCACCCCTTTACCGTATGTGTACGGGTTTGTCACCAGGCTTTAAGAAGCATGTGGAATGCAAAAGCTGCTCTTAGTGTGTTTTCAAAAATAAAAAAGACATATATAAAAAACCGTGTGGGAGCAAAATCCTCTTATGAGGGTGGCGGATTATGGGGGGGGGGGGGGTGGTTGTCCCAAAGGGCCCAAGTCACCAGTAGCTGTGGCAATGTCCAATAATTAATCTTTGCAGATGGCAGGATCCGATTAAGAATTCATAGGGTGCACAGGAGTTGAACACGGGGGAGGAGGGGAGAGATCGTACCTGCATGTGGCCTGTCCTCTGTGTTAGCGCCCCGCTCGGCAGAGAAAGACACATTTGCGTGCTAGGACATGAAAGTGCCGTTGTGTATTTTACAGTAGTTTGTGCACACATTAAGAGGTGTGTCCTTAAATAACTAACAAAGATAACATCAGCCAACTCCCTGCGTGTTGGAGGTCAACACTTGGCTGAGGAATTTCCTCGGGAGTTATGCTTATCTAATCAACGACTGAATGGCACAGAGATTGAACGTGTGTGCCATCGACTGCCATCGACTGGGTGGTATGGGTTATATGTGAGTAATATTTTGGCTATTTTCCAAAAAACTAGGCATACATTAACACACGGTGCCCATGTCACACTGCCAACGTGGGAGAAATATTGTATCTCTCACAGCAGCAATGGCACGAATACATCAGTCAGAGGCACGCACACTGCAGTGGCGTATCTTCGGTGAGCATGACTTGTCCCATGCTCCTCGTGGATTTAAACGTCAAACATGTTTGTTGTCGTCATGCTCAATCGGAGCACGTCTCAGTGTGGAACTAAAGAAGTCGAAGCTTATCTGGTTTCAACATCCGTGAAAAATAGGTTCAGCGTCTGCGGAAGTTTTTGAGGTTGCCCATTGTAGATATATTTCGTTGGCGTTGGAGCTTGTATTGGCACAGCAATTGCCTGTGATGTTACTGGGAAGTGCAGGTGGCAGGGGGAATGCCCCTAATGACGCATTCATGGAGAGAAGAGGGATTCCCCCTCAGAGAAAATGGTAAACAGCTATCATGTAAGCTAAATGTTACTGTGGGCTCAGTTTAAAGGGTTTTGTGGCTATTCACAGGCACGCATCATCATCTGTGAATGCTATACTGCTCACCCAGTGATGCTATTTGTTATGTTCTGACTCGTGTCTAGAACTCAACTGGCCTTACATTCCTCACATTTATTCCACTGATATGTTTCCAAGTTTATAAATTCACAAAACAAGTGTCTGCTGTTTTTTTTTTGTGTGACCGCAAAAACACACCGAGTGCCTTTTCCCATCTGCGCTGGTTGCTTTTAAATTCAAGTTTTTTTTCCTCATCTAATTCATCAATTGTTGGCTGGCGCATGTTTTTGGCATCTGTGAGCCACATGTCCCACAGTTGACCTACTGAGCTAAAAAATAAGTTTATGTTGCTGCCAGCCAACGTGGACACACTGGGATGAAGCCCTGTTTACAGTGTAGTTAAACAATATCGCGACCACATCAATTCAAGGGTTATTAAAATGTCTTCAAGTCTGAGCTGCTTTTGGATGAAAGCCACAAAAATATTCCTTTGGGGCTCACGTATGGGTGGTCCTGTTTAGGCTGTGTTATGGAATGCAATTTCTGTTTCTTCTGTACATTCTTGAGCCCCGTGTCACTTGTTGAAACACGTTTTCTTTTACCCCTCTGCCGTTCTCCAGACCCAAAGTCAACACTGTACAATCTATATTCTTGGGTCTTTTGGTAGTCACGTAAATAAGTTCAAATAAAATATTTAATAAATAACAAAAAAAACACGACGTTTCGATCACAACACTTTTTTTTGCCTCCTGATGATCGTTTGTGTTGTGATCGAAACGTCCAGGTTTTTTTGTTATTTTTGTTATATTTTCTTTGAATACTATACTCTTTGGTTCTTTCGGTAAAGTCACGTAGGCAGAAAATAATAATAGATCACGACGTTTCGATCGCAACACAAGCAAACGTGACTTTACCGAAAGACCCAAGAATATGAATTCCTGCAGTCACGAAAGCTTTAAGACTACAAACTAGCTCACATGGAGAGTTGTTATTTCACCGTCATTGTCACCGTAATTATACCGAGAAACTCCCTATCACTGTTAAGAAGACATTAAC